ACTAGGACCTGAAATATCACAAACAAGCACAACCTAGCGTGAAATCGGCCTAAAACACGAGAATCAACACCTCAAACGGCTCCGGAATAGGGGTAAAAACATGTGCAATTAACGGTTTATCATATACCAACCAATAATTCATGATTTACCTAGTCGTCGCTTTCGAATGATGTTCTTAAAAAAATATTTAGTATCAATAAATCGAGTTGTTGGAAGATTTCAATAATATATAATACCATTTACTACCATGCTCCCTTATAAGAAAGTTAACTTATACGAAATTGATGTTTGCACAAATCTGTATACCGTATGCTTAAGAAATGAGGTCGCTAAGATTCAAACACAAAACTTTTCGACCAACTATTCTCAATTAAACGCGACCCAATTTTCGATATCAATTAACTATCGTACCTAATTTAACCATTTTCCCTCGAACCAGGGTGGGTCCCGGGACCCACCCTGTTACCCTCTCCCTCTGCCACTGGCAGAATGTGATTAAATCCATTCCTATGTGTCGACGATTCCCAGGCCATGCGGCAAAATCCCGCCTTGCTGCTCTACCTTTCCTCGGCCGGTCTGGTGTAGTGGCGGAGGCAGGATATGGAACTATAATTTTGTCCTCTTTTCGGAATATAAATATATAAATATTTAAGTTGATAAATATTCGATAAAAGTTAAAACTAATACAAAATAATTTATTCATAGATAAAGAAATAACTAACTTATACAATTATTATTTGCATAAACAACCACAATAAGTTTTCATATTCTGAAAGTTATGCAAAATATATTCGTTGTCTACACTCTTAAGCAAGTAGTTCAATGTATCCCACTAAACAATCATTAGCAAACTAATCGCAAATTCAACTTTGAAACTTGTTCTTAATATAGGTCAAACTAAAAATGTTCTTTCTACACTTACAGTTGCAACTAGTAGAATGACGATTAGCTTCATAAGCAAATAAACTGACGGAATGATGCACTTTTGCCTCCAACATTACTCGAGATAATTAATCATTAGCAAGCTATTGTCGAATAACAGTGTAATGAGTTAAACCAATAAATTAATTAGTTTTCCTGTTACGAACAAATAATGAGTTGTGGTGTCGTGTCGTGGCAAAACATCTTATGTTACTTGTTGTGGGTGTGGTATCTTTTTCCTCTACTCAAAAGTACTCATGTCCCGTGACAAGGGCCAAGTGCCTTGGCTCCGCCTATGGGTGGTGTAATCTAAAATGGCCACTCAACTTTTGTAAGGGCGCTAACGACGGTCACGGTTGCTGGGTGGACATGATTTTTTCTCTATCCAACTCAAATTTGTTTGCCGATTATAGACATGCGTTTTGTTTAAAAATTATCATTATTTTTCTCAACTTATTTAATATTTCACTTATTGATAATTGTGGATACCGAGAATTCCAACAAACATGAATATAATTTTAAAAATCTACCCGATTCTTCATTCTTACATAATAAAAAGAAATGTTTTTTAGTAGTATAATAGATACTCACTATCTGCACAAGTGTACGTGGGCACCGGGCCGTGCCGTCCACAGGCTAGCATGGCACGGTTAGAGCACGGCACGAGCACGGGCACGAAATAAATGGGACAGCCCGCCACGAGCACGAATAATTTATGGGCCATGCCGGGCCTAAACTTCATGGGCACGAGCACCGGCACGACACAGTATATAAGTGGTTCGTGTCGGGCCTAATATTTTCGAGACTTTATTGAGTATAAAAACGAACATGGCACGAAAATAATATCTTTTTATAGAAAATAAATATAAAAAGAATTATAGGTTCAAATATTACAAAACAGAAGTAGAAAAATAATTATTTGTTGTTGTTAGAAGTATCATAATGATATATATGTACTTACTAACATAAGTAAAAATGGACAAAGAATTAAACAAAACCAAATCACACTCGCTATACTTCCAATTTTCTTTTCCCCCTGATTTATTACTTTTCTCAAACATTATCGGTTAATACTATATTCCTTTTCCAATTTTTACCTTATTTTTCATTCTCTCTTTTGTTTTCGTCCTTTTCATTAAACACGAATACGAGCATGACACGAACACGAATAGGCACAACACGATTCAAACCGTGCCTGGACCTGGGTCGGGCCTAGCAAAGTTAACAAATAGGCTTGCATGACACAGTACAAAAACTGATGGGTCGTACCAAACAGGGCACAAAATAAATGGGTCCAAAACATGCCCGTACCGTGCCGGCTCAAGCACGGCCAGTGCCCATGTACAGCACAAGTATACCCGTGGTCATTCCTACTCGTATTTCAAGGCTCAAATGATTATGCACGGACTCTTAAGAATAACTTAAAATGATACGTGTAAGTTTTGGAGAGAATTAACTTTAACCAAAAGTTGAGGAGACTAGTAGCTAGGATTGGTCCATGATATATGTTTCGTTGGCGAAACTCGCGCGTTCAATGCGCTCTGATTTCAAGGAAACAAAAACCCAAAGTCAGCAAAAATCGTCAAATATCCGCCGCCGAATGTCGGCGCCGTTGATTTGATCGATTAAACAGAAACCAAGATGACTGCCAAATATCCACCGCCGGTGTCGGCGATGTTGATTTGATCAATGCACCCTCGACTTCTAATCAAACAACCGTTACTCGGTTCACCACCTCTCCAAACTACGTTCGAACGAGGGTGTTCAACGAGAAACGAGAAACCAAACCGGGAGTGTTCTAAGTTACGTTACCTCTACTCCTATGGAGGTTCCTCTGGAGAGCTCCGCAACTACGACTACAAGCTACGACTCTGCAAAGGAGTTCTTTGACAGAGCGGTTCTACCGAACTAGAGAGAAAAAAGATAAATCTGCGTAGGTGCAGTTTGTGATTGTGATTTGAACTCCTCTCTCTTCCCAATCTTTATACTTCGCGCTTCTCTTCGTCGTAGTAACCGCCTTCGCGCCTTTGTCTCCCACGTCTTCACTCCTGTCAACCGTGCAGGCAACTTCCTCCTTGTTGCGTAACTCCCACGAGTGCGAAACCGCTTGAACACGTGGCAACTTGGTCCAAAACGTCACTGAGCCAAAATCCACCATTGCTGAACTCTCGTCACTGCGACGTTGTTTTTGATTAAACAACATCGTTTCAGTACCGCGACGGTGTCGACCTCCCACAATGTCGTTTTCGGCTAAAGCGACACCGTCTTACCTGATCCTTAAAATACTAATTAATTAAACCGGCCATCATTGTTGGCACGCTGTCAAACTCTCACTCCACGGCGCCGTTCTTAATTAAACAGCATCGTTTTCTATTTCTGCGATGTTGTTGAACTTTGCGATGCTGCTTTAAATTTAACGCTGTCGTTTTAACAACTGCGGCATCGTTTGGCCCACTCGCGGCATCGTCTTTAAATCCGCGGTGTCGTTCCTTCTTCTTGCGGCATCGTTTTCAACTAACGACACCGTACTAAAAAGTCATTAAAAATATTAATTAACTAATCTGGCCATCACTAGTCCACAACCAACGACATCATTAGCGCCAAAACGGCTCCGTTTGCTTTTCCTTTTGCGACATTGTTTTTTATTAAACACTGACGTTTGCTTGCGGTACCGTTGGGCTTCCTCGCGGTACTGTTTTTAATTCCGCGGCATCGTTTTAGCTCTCCGCGGCACCGTTTTAACTCCCCTCGGTGCCGCTTCTTCCAATCCAACAAGGAATAAAAATAATAATTAATTAGAGAAAACTCCTTCTCCAATACCCACGCGCGGCCCTCTTGTTTTTCGGTAAGCGGTGTCGTTTGCAGTACCGCGGCACCGCTGAGCTTCCTTGCGGTACCGTTTTAGTTCTCCGCGACGCCGCTCGACTCCCAACGATACCGTTTTTTACGCGCGGTATCGACTTAAATGCCGAGACTAATTAATGCGGCATTTAATTCTGGTCGAATTAATTTTAGGTGTCAACAATATTATAATAATAATAATAATAATAATAATAATAATAATAATGCCATTGGTACTGCCAGAGTCCAGGAAGGCAGGAACTAGCTAGGTCTAGGTGGGTGGATTATTACTGTCAAAATTATAATACTATATATGGGCATATAATGTCATTATTCCGTCACTAGTAAGTATTACTAGTACTGGGGTTTATTTCTTTCTGAAGCCAATGCGCCTTTTGGGTGTTGCACCAATTTGACATTAACCCCAGCGCCAGTACTTCTCATCATTTCTTTCTGAGATCGATCAATTTGTTCAAAATGGTGCTAGCTGAGCTCGAAGAAAGATTGCATCTTTAGAGATAAGGATAGATCGTTTCTTCAGAAGATTAGTCGCATGGTGGGTAGTTGGACAAAGGCTTCCCATATGGGGGTGCATGTATGTAGGAAGTTGAATATATGGGTCCACTAATTCAGTAATCAGATCATGAAGGACTGGACAATTGTGAGCTAGACAAGTATAATAATACCTTAATCAATCTCAATATTTTGATTTTCTTTAAATTCGAGAAGACATAATAATTATGGTTAACTAAATCACGTACGATTTGGTACAATTTATGATTTAACCACAAACCAAACTTACACTTTAGCTCATGCGCTCAATCTTATGCCCACAAATATGTATGTATCGATTTTCTATTGAGGACAAAAAAGAAAGAGCTTATTATTTATTGATGGTGAACTATTACAAAAAAAAAAAAAAAATTATTGATGGTGAACAAAAGATAAGCTAATGATGAACAAAGGACAATGGTGGGAGGTGGAATTAGGCAAGTGGGAACTCACCAAAACCATGAAAAAGCCACACAAAAAAAAAATATGCGTAACTAAGTTGACTTCCACTTTCTTTTTGATGAATGAAGGTCTCTCCTCCTTTTTGTTCATTCCTCCACTTCAATCAAAACCTCTATTACTTTCTCTCTTTTTCCAAATATTTAAGTCTTTATTTATTTCCAATTGAGCTCCTTTTCTAGGCCATCCATCTCTATAAAGTATAAACCCACACCTTATCATCCCATTTCTAACCCTAAACTACAAAACCTTTCACTTAGCTTGCTGCCTTAGATATCCTTTACACCCATAATACCGTGAATCCTCTTTTCATATCTCAAGATGGTACCGATGATGAAGAGGAAGGGTTTAGGAGTGCTGCTAATTACTCTTCTCTTGTTCATCTTCTTGGCTCTCTCCTTTGTCAAATCTTCCATTGCAGTCCCTACAACCAGTGAGTAACTCGTGAATTTCTAGCCTGCTGCAGCTAGAGATTATTTAATCTTTGAAGTTGATTTCTTGTTTATCGGTTAAGGATGTGATCAAGAATACTTAAATGACAAGTACCATCGTCTTAATCATGTCATGTGCAGGAAGCCTGATGATCAACCTTGCAGGGAACCCTTCCCCATCTGTACTTCAACATGGCTTACCGTCTCAGGTTTGATATGAACATGTTGAAATTTGGACAGTACATAGATTAATTAGTAAATATATATGGTGATCATAATGTAATTTTTCAATTTTCAGGGTGCAACAGTGATGAAGTTGAGTGATGATGAGGAGGATGTAGTAATTACTGAAGGAAGGATGGTGGTGGAGAGCTTGGATTATCCTGGAACAGGAGCCAACAACCACCATGACCCTAAAACCCCTGGCAGATCTTAATTACAACTAATTATTATTATTATTATTATTAGTTTCAATTAGTTAATTATCTGTCTGTATGGGTGGGTGGGGTGGTGTTTGTTGATACATATTAGCATGTTTACATGCATGTGGCCTAGCTAGCTATAGTCTCTCAGGAGTTGTACTGTAATTCGTGTAATGTAATCTTAATTAACTTCAGGATTAATGTTTTGTATGTATAGAAAAAAGGAACTTTATATAATGGTGTTTGCTCTTATTATTATTATTAGCAATTTTGAGAGCAACTAGGGGCGTCCTGTTAGTATATAGAGTAGTTATAGATACAAATTGTAATATTTGTTTAATTTAGGTACTGTACTGTATTGTAATTTAATTTAATAGAACTAATATAAATATTGGAAAAAGAATATTGTAAATTTAATTTTGGTGAAATAAAATAGAAATGTTTTCTCTCTCGTAACATGGTATTAGAACAAACGCGTTTCTCCGACTAGTTTCTTTCGCTTCCGTTATCCAATCTATGGTTTCTGTTTCTCGAACCCTTCTCCAATGGCGACTTCTTCGTCTTACCAGCCGCCTCGTCCTCTCGCAGCGACTCTCGTGCCTAATCATCCATACTACATTAGCTTCGGTGATTCCTCGACGACGCAACTCGTGTCAATCGTTCTTACCGGGCCGAATTACCACTCTTGGGCGAGGTCCATGCGTTTTGGTCTTTTATCGAAGAGCAAGCACACCTTCATCGATCTTGCTGTTGCGACGCCGCCGCCCGGTGATCCTCTCTACTCCGCTTGGCAGTAGTGCGCCACAATGGTGCTTGGCTAGATTATCCGTTCGTTAGCTCCAGACATCGGACAGAGTGTTCTCTAGCTCAACTCCGCGGTTGAGGTCTAGAGAGATCTCAGCGAACGTTTCACCATCACCGATCTTGTTCGCATTGCCGACTTGCAGGACGAGGTCTTTAACCTCAAGCAGGGTAGTATGTATGTGAGTGAGCTCTCTACCAAGCTTAGGGTTCTTTGGGATGAATTGATGACATATCGTCCAATTAGGTTTTGTTTGTGTGTTCCGAAGTGTTCTTGTGCTGAGTATACTAGATCTGACCAGATTATTCGGTTCTTGAGAGGACTTGGAGAGAATTTTGAGTCTGTTAGTTCTTCGATCTTGTTGATGGATCCTCTTCCTCCTATTAACAAGGTTTTCTCCATGATAGTCTAGTTTTAGCGTCAGAACAAGGTCTTCAATACTGTTAATTCCAATCCATTAGCTTGTGTTGTCCAGAACAGCCAGTATAGGGGAAATAATCAGTCTAAAGGTCATTTTTGTTCTTTCTGTGGTTTGAATTGTCATACTATAGATAAATGCTTTAAAAACATGGTTACCCCCTGGTTACAAAGGCAAGTCTAGGGTTAATGCTGTAGTGAGTGAGCCTACTGATGCCTCTGTTTCCATAGAGAACGGAAGTCAAGCTTCCCATTCGATTGTTCTTACACAGCAGCAGTATCGAGCTTTGGTTGCTCAACAATTCTCTGTGAGTCAACCATCAGCTGTCTCTCATGTCTCAGTGGCTAATGCTTTCACATCTGGTGCTACTTCTGAGTCTTCAGCATCTGCTTCTTCTTCGGGAGGTAAGTATGTTCTAGCCAATAGCAATGTGAAAGTAGATATGGTTTCTTAGGTCATAGACAATGGGGCTTCTGATCATGTCATATTTAGATTAGAGTATTTTAGCTCTTATTCTGCTGTTAATGGTATTAACGTTTCACTTCCAAATGGTGCAAAAGTACTAGTCACACATATTGGTATTATTGCCTTGTTTGGTAAATTAGAACTTAGGAATGTTCTCTATATTCCTTTGTTTGGCTTCAATCTAATCTCTGTAAGCAGATTAACCAAGGATACAACTTGTTCCTTGACATTTTTTTCACAATCATTGCATTATTCAGGATCTGGTCTCCCACAAGTTGATTGGTACAGCTACAGAGTCTGGTGGGCTTTACTGCTTCACAGCTGATTCCAACAGCCCAACCTCTCTTCCTGACCCAATCACTGCCCCTGCACCAGAATCCAGATGGTTGTCTGTTGTTTTTTATTCAACTATTCATGACATTGATATTTGCCATTACTGGCTTGGACATGCTTCATGCAATCCTTTGCAAACTATTATGTCTAAGAATAGTAGTGTTACTTCTGTTAAACACAAACATTGTTCTGTTTGTCCCATGGCCAAGCAGAAACGCTTGCCATTCATGGTAAGTGATTCTCATGTTGTTGCTTTGTTTGATTTGGTCTACATTGATATATGGGGTCCATATGGTGTTACCTCTGTAGATGGTTATCAGTATTTTTTAACTATCGTTGATGATTTCTCACGAAATATACTTGGGTCTATCTGATGCATAAGAAGTCTGAAGCGCGTGAATTGTTAGTTTTCTTGATTAGTTATGTTCAAACTCAACATAATCTCAAACTTAAGGTTATTCGATCTGACAATGGCCTCGAGTTTCACATGCCTTCTTTTTATAGTTCTTTAGGAATGGTACATCAGACTACATGTGTTGCATCCTCACAGTAAAACGGTCGGGTGGAGCACAAGCAGCAACACATTATTGTTGTTGCTCGTGCCCTGTTATTTCAGTATTTTCTTCCTTCAAAATTCTGGAGTCATGCTGTCTTACATGCTACGTTCTTACTAAAAAAACTACCAAGTCCTGTCTTAGATAATAAGTCTCCATATGAGTTGTTGCATCAATCTGTTCCTGATTATTCTAGTTTCCGTGTATTTGGTTGTTTAGTTTACATGTCTACTTAGCACACAATCGACCAAAGTTTGAGCCTAGAGCTCAGCCTTGCATATTTCTAGGATTTCCATTTGCTACTAAAGGCTATAAATTGTACAATCTAGTTACAGAGTCTTCGTGTGAGTCTCGTGATGTAGTATTTCATGAAAATGTTTTTCCATTTTTTCCAAAGATTTTCTCATGACTCTTCTGATTTTGTTTTTCCAATCATTTTTGTTTCGTCAATGGATGGTAATACATCTCATGATGTTAGTGCTAATCCAGATTCTTCTACCATTTCGGCACCCAACCTACATCCTTCATCTGATTCTTCTTCCTCCTCTGTTTCGAATATTAATGACGATGGAGTTGCTCCTCCTGAGTACCCTCCATTATTTGATGATGAACCAGAATGTTTACCTCCTCGTAAGAGGCAACCTCCTCTTAAATTGCGTGATTATGTCTGTAATTTAGTGTTTGATTCTGTTGTTTCATATCATTTATCTTCTGTTTATCTACAAACAGACTTGCTAACCATCATTCCAAGTTTGTTTTAACTGTTTCTGCTGTTGTAGTACCTAAAACATACAAGGAAGCTTCTCAAGATGAGAAATGGAATGCAGTTATGGATCTGAAAATAGATGCTCTTCTTCGAACCAACACTTTCACAGTTATACCGAAGCCACCAAATGTAAAACCCATTGGGAACAAATGGGTTTACAAGGTAAAATTTCATTCCGATGGAACAGTCGAGCGAGAAAAAGCTCGACTTGTCGCCAAAGGTTACACACAAACACCAGGCATAGATTACTTAGATACTTTTTCTCCAGTAACTAAGGCCCTATTTAGTATTGTTGCTTGTTTTTGTTTTCTGTTGTGTTCTTAAAAATTGTGGAAACCAATGATAAAAAACATGTTTAGTTGGGTTTCTCATTTTTGTTGTGCAAAAGATTTTCAAACAAGGTCCAAATCAGGGAAACAACAATTTATTGCTTTGGATATGATTCATAGATTTGTTTTACACGGGTTTCTTATGGGTTGAGGAACTGATTTCATTAAACCCACCCTCATTTTGAATCCCACGTCCGACTTAAAGGTATACAATTAACACAAACCCTCCCACCCTACTCTCGGCCCTCACAAAATCTCCTATTTTCCTTCCTCCTCTCCGTCGCATTAGCCATCTCTGCACATTCTTCCTTCCTCTCCGCCCTCCGCCGCACCATCTTCTTTTTCCACTATGTGAAGCCAGCCAATCGCCACCACCTTCTTCTTCTTCCTCCGTGTTGCCTCCCTCATGCTCTCCCCTTCCTCCACCCGCCGCCGCCGATCAGAGTAAAAAGTGGCTTGTGGGAAACTGAAACTCGCCGTCGCCACAGCCAGTGCTTCCACCTATGTGGCCCAAAATAAATCCCCCACCAAGAAGAGCAGCAGTACAGGAGACGCGAGCAAGAGCAGGCGAGAACACGCCGCCATTCGCGAATCAAAACTTATCAAGCGATTATAATGGCAATGCGGCGCCGGTGGAAACGAAGCGAGAAGCAGAGTTGGGGAAATTGATATCCTGAGATGGTTCATTTCGTCACATAAGGAAGTGGAACTCATCGGCGACGGGTGAAACATTGACAATAGCGCTGAAGATGGTGGGGAGAAAGTTGTAGGGGGCGTGGACACCATTGTCCTAATTGAACCTGAAGCTTCGGAGACGAAGCCGCAACAATGCGATCATTTCTCTGCTTTCTGGTTTCCCGTTCTAGTAACTAAATGTGTTTCTATTTTTTGTTGTCAACTTTTATAATTGTTTACATTTATCAACTAAACGAGTTAGTTTTTTATGTTTCCTTAATGTTGTGGTTGCACGTCTGTTTACACAACTCCAATACAACCACAACAGCAACAAAATGATACTAAACGGGGCCTAAGTTAACTATTGTCCGGTCTTTACTTGCTTTAGCTTCCATAAAAGGCTGGCATTTACATCAACTAAATGTAAATAATGCCTTCCTTCACGGAGATTTAGTTGAGGATGTTTATATGAAACTTCCATTGGGTCTGAAAATTTCTGGTGACACTTCTAATATGGATTGTAAACTAAATAAGTCTTTTTATGGACTTAAACGAGCTAGTCGACAATGGAATCACAAGTTAACAGAATTTCTTTTACAAGCTTGATATACTCAATAAAAAACAGATTATTCTTTGTTTACAAAACACTGAGATGGTCAGTTCCTTGCTGTTTTGGTTTATGTTGATGACATTATATTAGCTGGTGATTTCTTATGTGAAATAGAGTCCCTCAAAAAGAAGTTAGATGATGCCTTTAAGATCAAAGATCTCGACAAGCTTAAATACTTTCTAGGTCTCGAAATAGCTAGAAATAAAATAGGGATTTCCACTTGTCAACATAAGTATGTCCTAGACTTGTCAAATGATTCTAGTTTACTTGGAGCCAAACCCGTGGCCACTCCTTGTAATCTAGGAGTTAGGCTTTCGATTAAATCTGGTACTCTTTTAGAGGATTCCTCTGTATATAGAAGGTTGGTTGGGCATTTATTGTACTTGTGCAATACATGTCCTATTTTGCTTTTGCTGTTCACCGGTTGACACAGTTTATGAGTGCTCCAT